TTTTACTTTCATTTTCATTTTCATTCTGATTTTCATTTTCATTTTTATTTTCATTTTCATTTTCATTATCATTTTCATTTTTACTTTGATCATCAACATTTTCATTATCATATTCATTCAAGCCCAAATCATTAATGTTATCATTTTCAATTGAATTTTTAACTAAATCTTGTGTTTCTTTAACAATGAATTTATCAAGCGCTCCACTTTGAGTTTGGACAAATTGTTCAAATTTTCTTTTTTTCTTGCGTTTATCATATCCAGAAGGATACTTTCTTGGAGGCATTTCTATAATAAAACAAAAAATACTACAATGAAATTGAAAGAAGTCAAAAGATTCAGAATAATACAACCTAATTTGAAGCGGGCTCAGATCTGACGACGTCTCCGACTCTCCGTGATCCCTGAAGTTAAAGAGCCAAAAAGTTCATTAGCAACCAGTTTAACCTAGCAATTTGATCCTGAACTACTAAAATTAGGGTTTTTTTTGCCCGAAAGCTCTCAATTTTTGGAGAGTTACCTGATGATCTTTCTGAGTCTCGACGAACCCAAAATCCCTCTTTTCGCAGTTACTCGATGAACCCAAACTTCCTCTTTTCGAGCAAAATAATCACCAAATCCTAAAATCCAACGAGCTCGCCTCGCTCCTCGCTGCCTGCTTCTGGATGGGGAGGGACCGAGCCACCGAGGGAGCTCAGGCGACGGCGAGTCGACGATCGGATTCGGGGGTCGGGGACGGGGGGTCTGTGACTCTGTGGCGGAAGAGAGGAAGGAGAGGAACTGAGGAAGGAGACGGAGGAGAGGGAGTGATTTTGGGGGCTGACGGCTGAGTTTTGGGAGAGGGTGTGGGGTTGAAGATTTTAGGGTGAGAGTTTGAATGGACGGCTGAGATCTAATTAGAATAGTAAATGAACGGTAGATCAGGGGTGAAGGGATTATTTTGGGGGCCCCCAATTTTTGGGGGCCCTGTGCGGTCGATCACCCTGCACAGGCCCAAAACCGGCCCTGCCTACAGGAGCGAGCGCCAGAACTACTTTTGTCCTGACCGCGACTGCGTTAACAAGGAGTCGAGCATTATTTCGTGGCGATGAGAGCCAAATACAAGATTTGGTCGTCGGCCCTATCACTGCTCAGATTTACATATGTTTTATACATGGAAGGAAAATGATAGGGGCACACCCCCAACCACATCTCAAACCACACCCCCTCTCTCATATGCTACAGTGCACCGGGCCCCATATGAGATTTTAAATTTTTTTTTTAAATCTCATATGGGGCCCGGTGCACTGTAGCATATGAGAGAGGGGGTGTGGTTTGGGATATAGTTGAGGGTGTGCCCCTAGTGCCACCCTACATGGAAAGTTGTTAATGTGCGTTTTAGATTTTTCTATTGGAAAATAATAACTGCAGGGATGCTCGGGTTTTCCCCCGGGCCCCGGCCGTCGGAGATAAGTGTTGCTACCATCTGGATCTTTTCTAGCTGGACAAATTTTTAAAACCAATCCATTTTGAAACTTAATTGTAAAAATCGACACATTTCGAATTTAATTGCCAAATCGATCCAGCTGAAACTGGTTCGATTTTGATAATTAAATTGCAAATAGGTCGTTTTTTTATAATTAAGTTGCTAAATAGGTTGGTTTTAAAATTTTGTCCTTTCTAACTCACGTTTAAGTTGTGATTGTGGCTCTTATCCTCGCCCGTCATTTATTAAATGGGTCCGCCGTGTGCTCGTTCAAATACGAACTTGAATATACTTGCAATATCACCTTTAGCTCTGAGCATGCTGACAAGCAAGCAAATGACAAAGTCCGACGAAACTCGAAAAGCAAACTTGGATTTGGATTTTGGCATCAACCAGTTTCTATAGCTCATGTGTTCATTTCCTAAGAGTTTCAGAAAGGCATAATGTGTTAACATTAGAAAATATTCAATTGCTAAAATTCAAAAGCAATACTCAATGCGGGTGATCAAGACGGTTGGAACTTCGAAGGGTCCAGTATAATCCGCACGGTCTCGGTTTCGATTTCAAGTTGGACTATAATAATAATAAGGGAAAATTGTTTATACCAACTTGGATTTAAGAAATTATGCATCCCCCTCCCTCAAAATAAGTCAAACTCTGGAACCCACCTGACCAGATTTTTTTAAGCATGGAAACCCCCATGATTGTATTCTGGTGCAATTTGAAACAGATTTTGCCCCTTGGCATCATGTCACTTCAGCATTTTTTTTCAAGGAGAGAGAATCACTTTCTCTCCTCCTCCCCTTAGGGGCTGTTTGGTTGTATGTTTTTACCATGTAAAAGGATGGAAAGTGTAAAAAAGTGGATCCCAATGTCAGCTTTCATCAATTTTAATTGTTTGTTTGTAGTTGTGAAAATAGTGTAAAGTGATTTCATATGTTGATGTGGCTTGTAAAGTGATTTCATAAAAAAAAAGACATGATTTTAGGAGAAAGCTGACATTGAATTGAGGAAAAAATAATAAAAAATAATTCCAACCAATATGATCATTTGAATATAGACCATTTTTTACACTTTCCAAACAAACAATTAAAGTTATATTTGTAAACCAAACAAGCAATTTATGATTCCAATGGAATCAAAAACAAACAAAAGTATAAAAGTAAAATTGATGAGGTGGACAACAACTTTCTAAGTTGTGTCATAAATACACAACTTTACTAACAACAACCAAACAGCCCCTTAATTTCTAACTCCCTGCTCCGCTTCAAGTTCCATATTTGTTTTCTCTTGGCTAGGATGATGACGAAGACGGAGGAGGTGGTGTTTTAATAAAGTTAACGGTGGGATGAGATGAGATTAGGTTTTCAATGACGGAGGAGATGATGCGACGGTGGCCATACCCGATAACGGAGTGTTAGGTTGAAGACGTCAAATATTGAATTTTTGTTGTCTTTTTCCTTTGAATTGGTGTGATTTGGTAGGTAGAGTTTTTTTTTTTCTTTCCAATGGTTGTTGGAGGAGTCGTTGAGTTAATTTAGGTTTAGGTTGGCCTTGATTTGATGTCTTTGATTGAGAGGTTGGGTGATTTTTTGAGTAGGCAGATTTTGATCACTGTTTATGGACGGAATCTGTGTTCTAGGGTTTTAGATGTTGTTTTTGGGAGTTATGAATAATGTGGGATTGTATAATTGTGATCTTAGTGATTTTGCGTTGATTAACTTGTGTACTTTTTACTTGGATCGTGAACTTGAGATACAAAACAATGAAGAACAGAACAAAAGGTTTGATTTTGGATATGCTATGATGAAGGTTTGCTTAAGGTGAGGGTAATACGAGATTATTTATGGAAACATACGTTATATGTGTCCACTAAGAGCTATCCTAATCGGACACAATCCAACTGAACTCCAAATATAAATATAAATGGAGCTTCGTATAGAGGGGGTGGTTGGAGTGCCCCCCTCCCCCCTCTAAAAAAAAAAGAGGGGGTGGCCCCTCCCCCCTCTAAAAAAGAATATTCAAGAGAATATTCTTTGGGGAGGCTGCATTTTGCAGCCTCCCCATTGGAGTCGCTAAATGTAAATGAAAGCACTGCAATGTTGCATCGTTTCAAACACAATCTTCGTCAAAAAAGTCTTAAAACATTAAATTTCTTCTTTTACTATTACTTGGTCGATTTTTCGTTATATTGATTTTTTGCTGCTGCTAATGTTATTTAATTGTGATCTTTTGGATTTTATCACATTTAATCTTAATTTGTCATGTTTATCCCCAACTTGTCACTTTTATTCATTTTTTAGAGAGAATTATCACTTTTATTCTTCAATTGTCACTTTTATACTTTACTATTTACCTTTATAATTTATGGAATTTTTCTTCTAGAAATGAAGAAGTGTAAATGAAGACGAATAATAAGAAGATAGATGAAGAAATGACGAGTTCAAACCTTTAAAAAATAATGTACACTTGTTTGTTTATGATTTTACTTGTAATATAATCTCAACCTCATGTTGGAGCTGAATGTGTAAAACCTATTACATGTCCCATTTCTTTTTTTATTTGTAACTTAGGTATGTTATTTGTAACTTTAAGCTATTAAATGTTACACTTCGTTATTATCTGTGACTCTAAACTATTGAAAGTTACACTTCTTTGTTGTCTGTGACTTTAAATTATTAAATGTTACATTTCGTTGTTATATATGACTTTAAACTATTAAATGTTATAGTTTGTTATTATTTGTGAATTTAAACTATTAAATGTTACACTTCTATGTTATTTGTGACTTCAAACTAATGAATGTTACACTTTTGCGAGGCCTCCTTTGATATAGGGTGAGCTCGAACTCGGGTTGGTCGTCTAGTTGTAGGTCCACCTGACCAAGGTTTCCTTGTCAACAAAAAAATGGGAGAATTACTTCTACCCACCCAGATCTAAGAAATCTTGCACCCTCCTCTCTGAGAAAAAGTCAAACTTTGAAACACACATTGACCTCACTTTTTAAGCAAAGAGGCTCATGTGACGTACTCTGTTGCAATTAAAACTTAAAATACCCATTTTGCCCCTCATCGTCAATTCACTTTAGTGTGATTTTTAAGGAGAGAGCACCACTTCTCCATCCTCTCCTCCCTTTTCTAGAGTGCTGCTACGGGGACCCAAAATATAGGACCAATGGAGGGGACATGTGAGGTGTCCCCTCCCTATTGCATAATGAGTTGGCATGGCCAACTCATTATGTCCCCCCCCCCCCCCCCCCCTTTTTAAATTTTCTCTTCTCCAAGTTTTTGAACCCAAAAAGACTTGACTTGTTAAAGATGGAGGAGGTGATAGGGCGGTGGTCGGATCGAACGACCAAGTGTTGGGAAATTGGGCTAATGAGTCCCATCGCGAGGGAGGAAGGTTTGATGTTCACCGCCACCTTTATTAATTTATGGAAATGCAGAACAGTTTTCAGTCAAAATTGCAATCGTAGCTTACAACGTAAACGCAGTTAAATTGCAAACTGGGGAAATTAGTAACAAGGCAAGGAATATCTATTACAACACAGAAACCGCTAGAAATAGATAGAATTTCAAACGAACAATAGTTGGGTATGCAAAGCCACCCTAATAGTTCTTATGACTTTATTACCAGAGTTCTCAGAACAGTTTACATCCAATCGTGACAGTAAACTCACCCATAAAAAAAGTAAGGAAACTGGAGTACGATTGGAATTGCTTTATTATAGTCCAGAAGTTAGAAATTCAATCTCCTCCACTTCTAAAACTCAAATGTTCTAATGCAAATCGCTGCCTACTTGAACTGCACCAGACCTGGGATAGCTCTTCTCTTAACTCAAAAACTTACAAAGCCTTTGCAGACGCAACAACGTTCTCCACTGTCAAACCGAATTCCTTGTAAATCTTTCCAGCAGGAGCACTTGAACCAAACCTATCAATTCCGATAGCTTTTCCCTTCTTCCCTACATACTTCTCCCAACCCAATGTTGACCCCGCTTCAATAGAAACCCTAGCCTCAACACCGCTAGGGAGCACACTCTCTTTATACTCTTCCGACTGCTCCTCGAATAACTCCCAAGACACGAATGAAATGACCCGAACTTCCTTCCCCTCTTTCCTCAGTTCATCCGCAGCCTTGGCAGCAATCTCTAGCTCAGAACCCGTGGACATTAGAATGAGATCAGGCTTGTTTCCTGAAGAGTTATCTGAAATGATATATCCTCCCTTTTCTACTCCTTCAATTGAAGTTCCTGGAAGCTGAGGAAGCTTTTGCCTTGAGAGAGCAAGAACAGATGGCCTCTTCCTGTTGAGAACCGCAACCTTGTAAGCTCCTGCTGTTTCAGTACCATCAGCTGGCCTGAGCATCAAAATGTTGGGCATTGCTCGGAAGCTGACCAGGTGCTCGATGGGCTGGTGGGTGGGCCCATCTTCTCCTAGCCCAATTGAATCATGGGTCATCACATAAATAACTCCTGCCTCACTCAAGGCGGAGATCCTCATAGCAGCCCTCATGTAATCAGTGAAGACGAAGAAAGTAGCACAGTAGGGGATAAGACCAGGGCTATGGAGGGCAATGCCATTGCAAATGGCACCCATTCCGTGTTCTCTGACACCAAATCGGAGGTTCCTCTCTTCAGGTGTTTCCTTCTGGAAGTTTCCGAACATCTTGAGTAGTGTCATGTTGGATGATGCCAGGTCAGCACTGCCTCCAATAAATCCAGGGAGAACTGTAGCAAGTGCATTCAGGCATTGTTGTGATAGATTCCTGGTAGCATCAGCTGGGCTTTCAGGTGTGTAGGTCTGTAAGACATCACAAGATATTGTGTCAAATATTATTTGGATCGGTCTAAATTATTAACGAATAAAGGAGTAAACAACAATAAAGCTTGTTGTTACCGTGGTCAACTCAACAGGAAAGATGTCTAGACAAAAGGAGAGCAATAACAAACCTAAATGTAGACAGATATATAAAGAGAACAACACGCAAGGATTGACTGCGATTCAATATTATCTTGACCTATGTACGGGCGAAGTCAAAAAGAGGAATTCACTAATCAAATGAGGAGATCGCAACAAAAGAGATCACTCTCTAATCTCACTCAAGTTCGTTACTTACACATTGCTCTTTCGCACTCTTCATCACCATCTGAAACCTTCGTTCATAATGAATACATTTTAGCATGTAATGGAGTAACAGTAGAGCTAATTGGTCAGTGGAATGGTTCTCTAACCTAATTATACATAATGTAAGTATGAAAGAACGCAATTCAATTTTCAGTTTGCTTCATTTTCAGTTTGCTTCTTCAATATTCAAGTTATCTTAACAAAGCTTGTATCCTGTAATATTGCGGTCAGTTTTTCTAGGTCAAGTGGTTCATCAAATTGCTTAGAAATAGCTAATCCATAAAAAACTATGAAGTGGGGCTACTTATTAGAAAGTATGAGTCTGTCTGAAACCAAAATAATAATAATAATAATAATAATAATAAATAAAACATAGGGACTTGTCACCACTTTCCTATGCAACACTTCGAGATTGTGGATTAATAATGATCTTAGTTTCTATGCATGGTAAATCCTTCTGGCCTTGGTCAATAATCTGTTTCTCCATCTGTATGAAGACATCAGATTAGGCATTTCTTGAACCTTTTCTATGCTGTCACCAGCAATACCAATAACAACCAACCCCACCATCACCCCACAAATCCCAAAAAGGGAAAACAAAGAAGAAAAACCTTCTTCCTCCATCATCCTCTAGGTATAAAAATTCTCAAAGGACTACTTAACTATGTTAGCAATAGATATATATCCACACCATATTCCCATCAGAGGAACATGAACCTACTTCACAGTTGTTTTGTTTTTAGGACCACTTTACTCCTCATAAATATCCTCCCTGTTATCCTAGGATGGACAAGCACAATAGATACGGTTAGTATCCTAACATCTACCATCACAACAGTCTTTTCAGGTTAACATGATGATATTTTCCAGAAGGATTACCAGGTTCAAAGGTCGATGCAAATATTTTCCATAGTTTTCTATAAGCATTTCCAGAGTATTGGCAAATAACATGTATGCTTCAAAAAAAAATTATTCCAACTTGAATTATTGCTTAAATTGCTGAATTTGTAACCGTGAACACATAAATCTGATAGAGAAATATTCAGGTAGGGGGAGAAAAAGTTTAGGCATAGTCAAGCTGTTTACCGGAAGAGCCTTCTCCCATCCTGCAGGCAATTCTCCGGTGATGATTTTTTTCAGCTCTGCAGCCTCCTCCTTGTACTTCTTCTCATACTCAGCAAATTTGGCATTCCATTCCGTTTCAACGTCAGCACCCTCAGGTACATGGCGGCTCCAATGTCTAAGAAGAGTGAAACAATAAGTTCTCTAAAAAAAGATTGGCTAAACTGGCTGACTAAAAATAAAATCATTTCTCAATATTGCACACCTCTTCACTTCTTCAGGCACATGGAATGCCTCATGATCCCATCCAAGGTTCAGTCTGGTTGCATCAACTTCCTTAGCACCCAAAGCACTTCCATGCACGCTGTAAGAGTTCGCCTTGTTTGGTGATCCATAACCAATGGTGGTTGTTACCTACAAAAAGACAAACTCTTCTAGATTACACTCTAGCACTACAACTACAAGATTAAATACGAGGAAACAATGAAGAGAGTGTTATAAGAAAGAACCTTGATCAGTGTTGGCTTGTCCGTGACAGCCTTTGCCTCTTTGATTGCAGCACGGATCTCATCATAGCCAGTGTTTCCATTCTTGACCCAAATAGTATGCCACCCGAGAGCCTCGAATCGTGCAGTCACATCCTCAGTGAATGCAATTTCTGTATCTCCATCAATAGAGATGTGGTTGTCATCATAGAAAGCAATCAATTTACCTAGGCCCCAGTGTCCAGCAAGAGAACAAGCTTCATTTGAAACTCCCTCCATTTGACAACCATCCCCAAGTATACAATACCTGAAGTAGTGCATGAAAACGAATTCAACGGTAAGATTGGGGATTCTATGCAATGAATCATAATTATAAGTTGGAGCTAAAGAAGGTACATACGTATAATGGTCGATGACCTCGTTGTCTGGCTTGTTGAATCGGGCAGCCAAATGTTTCTCTGCAAGTGCCAGCCCTACAGCATTTGCAACACCCTGCCCCAGAGGACCTAGACCACAAAGTATAAATACAACAAGATGAGAAATTTCAACATTGCAAGATGAGCAATTTCAACATTGCAAGCTTTCTTAATCATTCGAGAAGCCTACCAGTAGTGACTTCAATCCCTGGTGTTTCAAAGTTCTCAGGGTGACCAGGAGTCCTGCTTCCCCACTGCCTGAAAGCCTTCAAATCCTCCTCCTGAAACCACACAAGTCATAACAATTTACTTAAAAGAAAGTTACAATTCCACCAGTGAAAGTAATTTTTGCGCAAGGATTACCCAGATCAGCACATCAATCTACGAGGCTTTAACACCATATGCCCTTTATAAACTTGAATAATAAACACCCCTACTCTATTTGCATATTTACCCTCCAAGTCTTGTTAATTTATCCCTGCATTCTTTAACACTAACTCTCAGTTAACACCGTCAATTTTAAAAGTGAGAACGGATAAATGACGATAATACTCTCTTCCAAAAAAATAAGGATTTTTTCACATATACCCTCTCCCCAAATCTGCACTTTGCTTATTTACATCTATGAATTTTGACGTTGTTAAAAGGAGAGGGGTGTAGAAATTCAATATGTGAATGTAGGAAGCAAATATGCAGATGCGGGGTCAATCTGCAAATAGAATAAATTTGATGGGAATATATGCCAAAAAAACCCAACAAAATATTGGTCACTCTTTCTAATGAATAAAGGAGGTGTTCGTTCGCATGAAAGTGAAATTGGAAGTGTATAAATGACATACTTTCAACACTTCAGATATTAGTTTTATTGAACATGTATGTGAAACTAAAATACGAAAAGGTCAATGTGGGATTTAATGCATATTTAACTTCCCCTAAAAAAGTGTCGAAGTCATCATGAAAATGAAAAGTTGGGGCATCTTGATTAAATAATTTACTTACTAACAACCATTGGAAGTACGGTATAATTTTAATAAATAGATAAAATGATATTACATCATTTATTTTTCTAGTTTCAACAAAAATTTGCAACAAAAGGAAAAAAAAATGCAGTTCCCTATTTATAAGGATGCACTTTCACACTAGTGAATAAAGTGAATTACATTTTCACCTCACTTTAGGTTGGTGAACGTCACTTTCTAGAAATCAACTTATAAAATTAACAACTTCGAATCCTCTATTGTAAGCTAGATCTATCCTAACTCTCTAATCCATCACCCCAAAAAAAAACTACAATTTCAACGCCCAATTAAGATCCAAATCTACAAAAGATTTGAAGTGGATCAAACAAACAAACAAAGAATCATACCTTGACGCTGTCGTATCCAGCAAGATGAAGCAGAGCATAATGAAGCATGCATCCATGGCCAGCTGAGAGCACGAACCGATCGCGATTGAACCAGTAAGGGTTCTTAGGGTTGTACCTCATGATCTCGTCGAACAATACGTGGCCAATCGGCGCGCAGCCCATCGGCAGGCCCGGGTGGCCCGAGTTCGCCTTCTCCACCGCGTCACCGCCCAGCGAACCGGATGCGCGTTGACGGACTTCGATAACGGCCTCGACGTGCGCCGCCGACACTGCTCCACCGCCGCCGCACCTTGATGCCCACGCGGGCGACTGAGATCCCTCCTCCTCTGGTAGTTTCATGCGAGGGTCTCAGGCCGGTGGGCCGAAGCGACAGTTGGTCGGGCTTTGTTGGGCCGCGGCCCGAGATGGCCGGGATGATGAGGGCTTTGGAGGCGGCCATGGAGGAGGAGGTGGCGGCCATTTTTCTGGTTTTTTTTTTTCGGGGAAAAGATGGAGATTTTAGAGGGAGGAAGGTTAACTAGCTCGATACGATCAAGGGTCTTTTTTGTTAATTTATTAGTTCTCTCGGGGGGTGTTGTTGGTTGGTTTTTCCGCCTTTGAAGAGGTGGGCCCGGGTGAGTTAGGTGGCTGTTTGTGCCCATCTCGGGCTGGTATTTTTTCGAGGGGCAGGAAAGCTTTTGGAAAGAACAAGGAGCTGAGTTTGGTGGGTTGTTAGACATTGACTAAATTTCAAATTTATTTGATTAATACTAAATTAGTCAATTAACTATTACACTGTGCTGGCCCACCACCGAGGGCGTAGGTGGTCAGGGAAAAAACCGATAAATTCTATCAAAAACCCTCATCCGTTCGATCTCATCGGTCTAACCTTGAGTCTGAGAATGAAAAGGTGAGATCGTTTCTTACGTAAGCGAGCCACCACCACCGTCTAGTTTTAAACGCCAATTTATCTCTCATAAGGCATCTCCAACCCAGACTCATTTTGGTGCAAACAGTGCTTTTTGTTGTACTGTTCCTTCTCCAATCCAGCCCCATTTTCTGCTCCATTTTGGTGCAAATAAACAGTGCTGCACCAAATATGGCGTCGCACTGTTCATCCGCCCCATTACTGTTTATTTTTTTTAATTTTTTAAATGTTTGTTTTTACCTCTCAATTAATATAAAAATAGATAAAAGAGAATAAAGTGAGAATATACTGAGAATATTTTTTTTTGGTGCAAAAAATGGTGCAATGGGTTGGAGATGTATTACTGTTTGATGTGATTTTTGCACCATTTTGATGCAATGGGTTGAAGATGGTCTAAGAGGCTTTTTTTTTTTTTTTTGTGACAGAAGAGGTTCGTATACGTTCGAAAGACTCTCTCTCTCATTCCGGTTATCCGTATTCTTTGACAGAGGAGGGTGGACTGTTGAAGAGGAGTTCCGTACGTGCTCGAAAGACTCGCGCATTTATTTTTAAGGGATTGAACTGGGAAGCCATTAGATTGGTATAGAAGAAAAGATGATGTAACGTTGAATATATACAAATTTCAAGAGTGGGGCTTCCCTCATCTAAAGCCACACCAAACATATACGCGAACAAATTCAAGGGCAACGAATCAAACGTATGCAGATGTTCATAGTTTACGGCTAGGCCCAAAGATACTCGGATCGTTGTTGTTCGCTATATCTGCTTGAATGCACGGAACCATCCAGACAGAACAATTTCAGGAAAGAAGTCACTTAACGAAACAAAAAAAAAATCGATAGTATAAGAGAATATTATTGCCATGATTATCTTCTTATATTGATACAACACGAGTGAATCCTGATTCAGTACATCTCATTCCAGGAACTTAAGTTCATAAATACATCTTATCAGCAAAGTACTCTGGATGATTCTGCTGACTCAAAAAATAGCCTACGATAATATAAGACCTGCCACGGAAGAGAGAAAGAGAGATCTGAATTCTGTTGCAAAAGGGAGGGGGAAAAAATATGTGAATAAGCAAATGCACTTTTCCAACTTACAGTTCAGAAGTAAGATCAGCTAGCATTTACAGAGCTATACTTGTTGCTCAATAGATCCATGGACGATAGATGTGAGCGATGGATGTACACGGGCTCTTCTCAAGGAGCGCGCTTCACTTTTACCCTGCGAGTATTCCTCACCCAGAGGCCATCTCGGCCTCAAATCATACTGTATCATCATGAAATACAATTGTCCAAATTGAGCAGAGCCGATCAGAATGTAAATTTGCAAGTTAATTTGTAGTTCATGTCGTATAGTTGCTCCTAGGCATAAATGCCCACAAGGATCACTCCCTTCTAAAAGAACATATACCAAAACAATAAGAATGCAATTATCAAAACTAAAAAATGCTGAAGAAGAACCCATCACAAGTCCTTGTTAGGCCATCATAAAGCAACAGCCAAACATAACTCATGTACTTCCTGAATCCATAATCCAATAACAGTATTCTCCTTTATATCAGTTTGTATGCTTGGAACAAACTCCGTTGTCAGGCCTTACTTTATCGTAGAAAGCATAGCCAAATTTTCGCTTTTATTTACCATGATGACATACCAAAATCACTGTTATTATTGACAGTAAGTGAAAATACACCAATAGTTAGAGCACTGATAGGGAATGAATAAGCACACAAGCATTGCTTAGTCATAATAAGATAAACATTGGTGATTATACTCATCGCAGCGATATTATCAGTCTATTAGTTGGCATGCAACCCGAAAAACATGGAAAAAAGGATTTGGTGTACAACAATCAATTCTAAAATACTAATGAATAAATATTTTTTTTTAAACCCAGAAAGATGGCAAAAAAGATATATAAAGGAAAGCATCTAAAGTTATACATAAACAACGCCCATACAAACCATAAAATCTTCGGGCTCATTGGCTGGTGGTGGAGGGTCATATCTTCCGACTAGAAAGTTCTCAATTCCAGTCCAAGCAACCATGACACCTATTAAAATAACATTCACAATAATTAACTTGTTTTAAAATGAGAAGCCTAATTGCCTGATCATGCCTGAAGCAAATCACAAATCCTTGGCACCATCAGTGACTCGTGAACTATTCAACCACCATGAAGAAATGTATTTTTTCCAATAGTAAAAATCTTATAAAAAAAAGAAGCATTGTAGGAGAAAAGGCTTAGACTCCAAGACATACACGTATCACCAGAAGTTAACGGTCCATAAACGCTCAGACTTGGAAACTGAGTATGTTCATATAGATGTTTTTACAGCTATTATACACTTCAACAGAGGTACATATTCCTTGGATAATGAGGTGTGAGTTCAGACACAAACCACAAAAATAAGTAAACCAAAAGTAGGGTGGAAAAAAATGTTTCATTGTATAGCAACATGCTCTGAATCAGAACTGAAAAGCATATTGTCTATTTTTAGTAAATATGAATCTATTACGAGCAGAGTGTTTCCAAGATATTAACAGAGGCAGTTGTAATGAAAGCATATCATCTAGAACTGAAGACCATGCATAAAGAAGATGTTTAAGGTTTCTTCCATAGAAAAGGAAATAACTAACACAGCGCCTCGACACTATTCGAAGTCATAGATTCAAGTCATAAATTCAGACTGACTGCACAGTACATTACCTGGATCACAACATTTGGATTAATGTCGCATGACTTACAACTGAAATTTTCTGATATTATGCATCTGACTACAGGAGACTGGTTGAGAAAGAAGTTTTCTATGAAAGATCACAGAGAAAAATCACATGTTTGTAGTTTCTGCGATTAGCCTATTACCATATTCTTGCCCCATCAGTATTTCCTCTATCCCAAACAACTAAAATAAGTTAGCAGCATATTTGCATTACCAGGAACTATAACATTAAATTTTAGTAGTTTGGCAATAAACAGCTTATTCAAATGATCAGCTACCATACAACCAAGAATTTTAGCAATACTATACAAGGTCATATCTTATAGTTATAACCAAATAGTCTCTTTGCTTAGTGGTATCCAGATGTTTAAGTTTTCTTAGTGGTAAAAGAGTACGCAGCTCAGTATTCCTGTTTATAAACACAATCTGTGGATGTCTCGTACCATTGTCAGTGCAAAGGCTTGGAGGAGGACATACGAGGCGCAGACCAGTCTTCTTTACAATATGATGGAGACGACTTCTAACATATTGATTTGAAGCAACACCTCCTGAAACTACCTAAAACTTACATGAAAATAACAACTTAAATGTTGAACATAGGTCACAAGGAAAGGAGTCTGACAGACAAAGGAAACATGAGATTCACATTACCAAGCATTTAATTGCAGGATCAATCTTCAATGCCCATTCAATTGCTCGTTCACACCTATCCTCCAAATGAAGTACGGCTACTCGCTGCAGAAACAGTCAAATGCATGAGGAAAATCTTGCTTTGCCTTGTGGCTTGTGCACAAGGATTGCAAATTTTCACTTAAAATTGACTATGTTGTTAAAGGTATTTGGTTACAGAATTAGATGCCCCGTGAATAACTTTCAGTGAGTGCACACGTGCGCGCTTGTTCACTGTTCATTACTATGTTTCTTTATTTTGATATATCAAGGATCTTCTGGACATACTATCTTTTCTTCAATACAGTAAGTAATACCTTTCTTTTTTCTTTCCTAGTTAATTAAGATACTTGTCTTTTTTATACATCTCTTATTTTTCTGACAACAGCTGGTGCCTCTGTTATTTCTCTGCTGAAAAGCATATCCACCCTCTTTCTTGCATGTATGATTATACATTTCCACTGCTGTTCTGTAAGACCATTGGCAGGCTTTCCCCCCTTATTCTTTAGTCCAATTGCACAGGCATTTAAGTAAACCAGCACCAATGTCTTACCTGAAAGGAGGCAGCAATATCTGCTCGCACCCTTCTGTCATGACTACTTTCAGAAGAAAGAGAACTCTTGTCTGTAAATCTGCAGCAGACATTCACATGCAATTATATGAAAAAGACTTGGGAATTAATAACTGAGGGAAATTTTTCCAGTGGACACGGTCCACTGCTGCCATGGTGGACCAAAAAGGGGAAGGTCCCTTGGATTAGCACACCAACCCCTGGACCCCATTTATCCAAGGGCTATCCTCTCTTGGCACACCACATGTCCATTGGATCGCGTCCACCAGAGAAGAGAGGAATTAATATGTACATGACAATAAAGTGGAATATTATGTTTAAACATAAGTTTAGTTAAAAATACAAATTATTCATGGCCTTTAGATTCGATAATAATTCTTCTTGAGTAATCAGTAAGAAAAACACATTGGTAAGTAATATTTGAACTTTTAAGTTCAAACTTTACGACGTACTAAATGCATTTTCGGCAAATTTTATCACTATTTTCCCTCTGTCAGAATATATACAATACTTAGAAGCTTCCGTCAATGAAGGCATTACTCCAACAACAGTTAAAAGCTTCTGATCTTCCATCTGCTCATTACTTAACAATTTGACAAGCTCAAGGTTAAATGAAACGGTTATTTTCTGATTGAAAATCATGCACCCCATGGTGTGCTGTAGAAAGAACACCACTCTTGCAGAAACATTAAACACAATTAAGGTCAACACAAGCATCTGAGCACATATGACCGGAAGCACCCACAGCAGGTGTGTGCACGCGCGCAAAAATGCGCACATGTGAGAAATGGAGACAGATTCCATATTTCTTATTGCCATATTATAGTGAATATTCCAGATACATTAAGATGACGATAGTTAGATTAGCATAAGCAAATATGTAATACATGACATGAAAGCATTTTATGTAAATATAGAATGGTACTTACATATTTCTAGACTCTATAGCCAGTCTAACTTGGGTCTTCAGACCAGCATATGAGAAATTACAATCCTTGTGTTGCCTCATTGGAATCTACATTGCAGAAGATACATATTAAACTTGATAGAAGCATCAAGAAGATCAAAAACTTAACACCTAACGGGAACTGCAAAGACAATGAAAAAAAAGCAACGGAGATAATGAATTAACTTTTCCTGTCAATTACAGTCATTTAAAATCTCCTTCAGAAAACTTACTTTAAATTTAACAGAATTTTCATCACCTTCCCGAGCAAGCTCCTCAAGAGCTGGGCCACCACCTCTCCCCATATCAAGGCCAAGCCATCTAGCTGTCTTATCATATGCCTCACCAATAGCATCATCTATTGTTGTTCCCAGCTGAACATAATGACCAAGGTCACGAGCAAGAATCAGGAGATTATGTCCACCTGCGTAAGAATAGCATATGAGATTCCAATTTTTGGTTCATCTTACAGCTGAACATAAGAAATAACCTATGAAATGAAAGTGAGTGAGGGAGGGAGGGAGCAACAATCCCCTGTGTATTCAGATAAGTTTACATACAACCCACAAACAAAGCATATCATATAGAGGCATTTGGTCCATCAAATCGAAAGCATGACTTAGAATTTTGACAACATTTTCTTGTTATGTTTCATAGTCCTTTAGATGTAAGTGTCCAGGAGGTGCATGCGAAAATTGATAAGTAGGGTGCATGTACTTCCACTATGCTGAAAGAATAAATATTAGCATGCAAAAGATCACTACTGATATGCATACACAGACATACATTTATACATGAATACATACATATATATACACTGAATAAAATGGAAAAACTAGGTAATACTGAATAAAATGGAAAAACTAGATAATACCGGAAAAATGCTACAGGACCCCAAAAGTAAAATGGATGTTCCATGTAATTCTCAGTGCTCTTTTTTCTTAGCAAAATTGTGCTTTTTCTACAATCTCTGTGTTAAACTTATATAATATAAAATGAAGATAGACATCTTACCTGAAATAAGAAGAGCCAAGAATGGAAATTGCAGGTCCTTGTCCATCAGCCTATATAAAGAAACAAGCATAACAAGGAAGGAAAATAAACACAACATAAAATAAAATAAAGAAGTACAAGCTAAATTAAAAGTTACAAAAGTCATATTACACAGTCCGTTGCCTTTCCCTTGATGTACTTAGTTATGAAGGACCTTCATTCTATTCTTGAACTCCGTCCAATATTGTGTTTTCTGAGGACTTTCATTCTATTCTTGACCTTCATTCTTGTACTTAATTATGGTGGACCTTCATTCTATTCTTGAACTCAAAAAACACAACATAGATGGAGATGCAGAAACCAGGCAAACTATGAGGGTGTTTGGCAAGGCTTATTTTTTTAAGCTTAATAAGTGCTAGCTTTTAGTGGCTTTTGGCTTTTATAATAAAAATATTATAACAATTATTTGGGTACTATAGTAATTTGTTTGGTCAAACCTAACTTATTTAGGTGAGCTTATAGGTTAGTTTTTCAAAAGCTAAGATATACCAGCTTTTTAAAATGTGACTTATAAGCTAACTTATTTTATATCATCATATCATACTCTCTTTAAAAGCACGAGTTCGGAAAAATCTTTTGGTAGACAAAAATGCCCTTAAATTTCAAATTAATCTATTAAGTAAGAGGAAGTTGATAAATTGATGAATTTTTATTGGATATACATAGTATGAAGATAAGAATATAGTTTAAATTGAAATGCAAACCTAAATGAAATTATTAAATGCTAAATTTACAAATGTATACAAGATGAATGGCGTATATGCAAAAACTAAACAAATTAGTGAGGCAAATAATATTCGCCCCAGAATCGAACCCCAGAACAACGCAGACCTATAAATATACATAATGTGGACGGGGTATTTGCAAAATCCACTAAACAAATTAAAGAGACAAAATCGTTCTGAAAATTATTAAAAAAAATTAAAACAAACAGCTACGATATGAGGACACAACGTGGCGATCTCTCACCAACTAAAATTCAAGTTGTTCACGGTACTGCATAATTAGTTTTAAAGTTTAATTATACTATTATTATTTAAATAGAACTCTATTTATAATTGTTATCATCTCACATGTAACATCACATACCAATGTTTATAAGCTAAAAAACTACAACAATTTCCGTAGCACTTTCATCTCTTCTACATATTTTTCGTAGCACTTTCATCTCTTCTACATATATTTGTCTTTGTTATTTTCTTCTTATTAGATTAGATTAGATTATTTTAAAGCAATTAATTATATTGTATATTTAATTTTTTTATATCAAGAAATATCAATAATTTTCACAGTACTTTCATCTATTTTCTTCTTATTAGATTAGATTAAATTATTTTAAAGCAAGTAATTATATTATATGTTTGATCTTTTTTTCAGATCAGAAATTATAATAATTTTCATAGCACTTTCATCTCCTTCAATAAATATGTGCCTTTGTTATTTTCTTCTTATTATATTACATTAGATTAATGAAGAAAACCACACAAACAAAAATCATATTAATAATCCACACGCACCCACTGTTTTCAAAACCACCATTCTCCATCTCCATCTATTATATATCCATTTACCAATTTAAGCTTTTAGAGTTTCCCCTCACCAACTACGCCATTGATCAACCCTTATTTTTCTTTTATGTTTAAATTGTATAACATTCATTGCGATGAGGACTCACATGGGTCCACTGCTTGCCTTGAACGTACAACAAAAAAATAATGTACTAAGCCTTGTAGTTAATTAATAATGAGATCCCATCATTATAAACAAACTAAGTAAAGATTCACCTATCTTCTACTGCAAACTTGTTAGTTGTTTATTCCCGGCCCCAAAAATTTTTCAAAATAATCATCTATTTCATAATTTTTTTTAAAAAAGTTTAAATAAAATTTATGGCAAATGTAACAATCCATGTTTACAGATTTTAACTTAAAATAGCTTTGATATTTAACCATGTGCATTGCACGTGCACCAGGACTAGTTTTACCAAATATGTAGAAATTAAAAAGTTAGCTTAAAAGCTAGTTTGACCAAAAAATAAGCCGCCCCAAACACCCTTTATATCTAGTGGAAGAAGTATCCCTAGTGATGAATTGCTACATAAATGGAGAAAAGGCATAACAGAAAATTTTCCCCAATCATCATTTGCCCATTGCCATCAAAATGAGGTTGACCATAAAGCGTGCCATGAAGAACTAACCAAAATTCTACATTGGTTGTCAACATGACTGCAGCCCTCTATGATTTGGTTTTTTTTTAAGGTAACTATAGCAACTGAGAGCTTTGTCGTGCCCCTAGAATGCCAGTAGGGAGAACACCTAGCTTCTTTGTAGCCTGAGCTCATAATATCAATAAGCCCTTTAGAGTCCCTAATACACTCAAAAAAGCCTAGATAGTGAAGGAATATAGTAAGAATTTGCCATATGGAATTTCATTTAGCTATTCACAAAAAGGCCATGCTATCATATTTCCATGTGAGTGAATTTTGGTGGTTGGATTTAGCCTTTTAAGACAACATTACGTGAAGTACGTGGAGCTTGAATTCAACATGTCAGAATTTTAATAACATAATGGCATCTACCAAGGGCTATGTAAAAGATTCTTTTTCATTCTCTCCAATTTTCAGGGGCATTGTCTGGAACATCAAATTCAAGCAAAATACCTAGCACAGAAGGACATGAAGGTATGACCCAATAATCAGATACGTCGCTTCAACTCTCTTACCTGGCTACAAGAGCATGAGCTTCCATATGATGGACTCCGATGATGGGCAAATTGAATGTCCCAGCTACTCTTCGAGCTTTCTGGACACCAACTACAATAGATCTAGGAGCAAAAGATCAGTACATGGATTGATAAAATAAAGCTGAAAGGCAATACTTAAAATATGAGGAAGATTCCAACTACTTATAATCTAGATCCGACAAATTTTTTTTTTTTTACTTCTTCAGTCTCCATATAAATTCAAGATAGATAGCAGAACCAATGAAAAAATATACATTTATCTGATGAAATCTGCAATACAATTAGAAATAAATGTAGATATCTATCAATTAATTAGATACATACATATGAAATTTCTAATAAGGAAGAAAATAATCTTCCTGAATCCTAAAAATGCTCTAAATATTTTCATTGATGGACTTTCAAAATTTTCTCAAGCATATTATTTGATTTTGTAAGTGATATGATATTGTGACTTCATAGGGAATGTATACAAAAGAGTAACATACAGTATGAGTTACATGACTGAAATGATACTGAAAGGAAATATATTCGAAATGCCCAGGAAACAGGCAGATGCTAACAGGACATTATCTCCACAATGAACAACTAATCTTATTTCCTAATTAACAAGAGAAGCTAAATTCTTTGTTATAAGAAATGAGAGACTGAAGTTGGTTTCGAACTTAGACGTCCCCTTTGTGTATATTCAAACAAAGGCACGTTGTTATGATCGATACCATGAAGTGACCATCAAAGATCCATTTCAATAACTGGCAGCAGCTTACTGAATTCCCTCTTTGCTATGAGCTCAAGATACCAAGAAATGGAAAATAAGGAATACAAGAAGTAGTAGTTGGGTAACAAAGTTCCACATATGCTAATCATAAGTACAAAGTGCTGTTAATTTTTGTGATTTGCGAACAAAATGTACGGGCGATTAGCTGTGTAAAAGGGTAAGTACCATAAATAATCCCCATCAGTGGTATATGACAGAAATATGTATTGGCAGTGTCAATGCAAGTACTTAACCCCAATCAAACTTCTCAGTTGAATCCATTATGATGTTCATTTTCCATCTTGTGATTACAACAGTTGCAACTTCTGGGAAATAGAAAAAAAATAGGGAAGACTTATAAGAATAGTTGCAATAACAGCAATAGGACATAGCATACTTACCCCGCAAACAAAGGCTTAGACCTGGACCGATAGTAGTTGCAATAACAGCAATAGGACATAGCATACTTACCCCGCAAACAAAGGCTTAGACCTGGACCGATAGTAACTGCAACAGCAGAAAGATCATTTTGCATACTTACCCCGCAAACAAAGGCTTAGACCTGGACCGATAGTAACTGCAACAGCAGAAAGATCATTTTCTGACAAATTTGCATTTTCTACTGCTTGTTGAACAACCTGCAAAGTAAATCAGAAGTCATATGCTTATAGCATTTAAACACTAGCACAAAAGGTAGAAGAAGGGGGTAGTCAATCAAATGTCATGCCTGATCAATAACAAGCGAGTGTGCTTCTTCAGCCATTTTAGGAGCAACACCTCCATAGCGCGAAAGCAATTCTGCCTTGACCAGATGAAAGCACAAAGATAAATAAAAATAAACATAGAAGTTTGACAGTCAAAGAGATTGACAAATTTACCAGCTGAGCTGAATTACAAAATCAGATAAGAATATACTGTATTGGTAATACAAGAAAAAGTGTACTCAGCAAAACCAAATCAAATAACTCTAAGAACATACATGACATGATCCATTATACCGGTACCTATCCTCATATCAATTAAATGGCTAAAGAGAAACTTTAATTTCAGAATGTAACTGATTGAATGCGTTTCGAGAATTCGGAGGATAATTATATAGTTAGAGATTCAAGGAGTATGGTTCAATTTCCATTATTTATGAGTATGGTTCAATTTCCATTATTTATTTTTTCTTATTGCAATATTTTCCTTCACCGGCTTCATATTTCCCAAGGGAAGCCCTAGCAGCAGCCACTCTGCCACAGACTATGAGATTTTATAATGTGCAAATCTAGAAAGATCTAATAACAACAAGAAGATTCTTAAACGCAAAGAATAGAATAGAGTTATATAAGCAACATTTTCCTAGCCAAAGAGAGAAATTTTTCTAATTTCAAGAGATCAATGTTGGAGATGAAGTGGTGATGAAGGATAGCATTCTTTTAATTCTAAATACTTCTTCAAGTCAAAAAAAAAAAAATTAATTGAAAGTTCAGGATAAAAGACCAAAACTTACTTGAGAAGAAACAACTTGGCTGAGGACTTCTCCATTTCCTCTAACCTAAAATAAGCCCAAAAATTAAATTAAATTAAATTTAAAAAAAAAAGCAAAAACAGAGAGGAAAGAAAAGCGAGAAGAATCACTTACAACCGCTGCGGCTGTATCGTCGCAGCTCGTCTCGATCCCGAGAACGACGAGATCGTCTCGATTCAGCGCCGTAGAAGTGTGAGCACCAGCAGCGAAATTTGAAGGCGATAGAGATCTGAGAGGGTAATTTTGAAGAATAGAGGACGGATGGCGGCGTGGGAGAGCGAAGGACGAAGAAACGAGGGGTTTGGATTTAGTGAGATGGAAGAGATTCGTGAGAAGAGGGGAGCGGGAGAGCGAGAGGGGCGAGGAGACGAAAAAGGCCGCCATTTTCCCACCGATTCGTGGGAGAGAAAGAGATGAGGGCGAGGTCTCTCGGCTATTTTTCAGCGCAAAGCCGCAGAAAGCGGGTTGAGCTAGCCGTGAACCGGGGAGTGGCGGAACGGGACCAAAATTGGCGAGGCCCATATGTTCGGGTGTAAGTAGCATTCTAAATGATTCCTATTTTAAAACCGAGCAAAAAACTACTCTAAAGTATTTGAGTGAATGTTCTAAGTTAAGAAACATCCCGACATTGTTAGCTTTTCTTTATGTATTCAAAAATATCACATAGGTATTAAAGTGAATCTTTTAGAATTTTTAGGGTATTTAAATGAGGTCGTACACAAACTAAAGTAGGCAACATTGGATAAACAAGATGGCACGAACGTACAATACCGAATAGACAAGAGGATGCCAACGCACAATATTTTAAAAGTTTGGAGCATTTATGCGCAACACTTTAATGCATTGGGATTTTTTTTTTCTCCGTTTTAAAATAAGGAACACTTAAGTGCAAGATTAGTGAAACTTTAGAGCATTATAGTGCAATCTAGCCATGTATTTGTGGGTCTATATTTATAACTTCACATGTGGAAATTATGCATTAGTCATTTTGAAATTGACTACAAAAATATTTTTTATTTGTTCCCAAAAAAAAGTATTTAATAATTAATCTGATGCTTAATATATGATAACTGTGATGATGCTTATAAATATTCATAATAAATTAAGCAATTATTGTTATAATGTGAGAGCCTTTGTATGCTATAGACCTTTTACTGGTTGACACCTGCAACTTATGTAAATGTGAATTTTAATAATTAAAATGAGCTATCACTTTCAATGACTTCACCGGAGCACCCCACTGGTGGTTAGATACGTCCATATTCAATGGAAGTAGTTTATATGTAAACGTAAAAAGCCTTGAGTTTAAAGATTTTTTATGGAATGCTCTAAATATAAAATTCATACATGTGTTTTTTTTTATAATTTACAACTATTTTGTTTTTGAGTTTGTTTGTGATATTGCCATGTACACGGAAGAGAACATACTCAACATGGCTGCAATGGTATTAGAGGAAATATACCCTATTCAAAAGTTCTGCAATGAGCAAATAATACCAAAGGTAGTTCTCGCTAAAAACCATGATCTATTACCATATTGTAAATGCAATCGAACTGTACAGTAAGAAAGATAAATTCTACTCTTAAACTGTAGTTACAACTCAAACTTCTGCACACAACAAAGCAGAATATCTGCAGAGAAGAAACTAACCCCCCCCCCCCCCCCCTCCCCCCCCCCCTCCCCCCCCCCCCCTACATTTCCTCAAGACCCAGAAGCAACACCCTCTTCACAATGAGATTAATACCCCGGACCCACAGCTCCAAACTAAAACCGCTACTTGCTTCAAAATGGACCTCCCTCCCTGCCACAGTCTTGACATGGAAAATCACTGACTTGCCCTCCTCATCAACACTCCTGTTCTTTAGAAAGGCCGAGCTCGGTCCGGATACTGCCTCCTTACAAACTACATTCCTCCGCCTTGTTTTCCCCCATGTCAAAACCCCAGATTTCTGCATCTTAACAGTTTTCAAGTGAGGATTGCCTCTCCCCTCTCGAGTGTGCTTACAAATCTCCTCACCATCAAGCACGTGCAGTCGAGCCAAGTAATCAAGTAACAAACCCTCGGTTACTTTATTAGACCGATCACTTTTCCTTGCCAAGGACAAAGCTGTCTCATTTCGGTCATTGACGAGCCTACACTCTGCTCCACCTTGTACCAGTAGGATTTTACACACGTCAGAATGGCCTTCAGTGGCTGCAAGCATAAGTGGTGAATAACCATCCTCGTCAAAAGAATCTACGATAAATCCCATTTTTAGCAGCTGAATGATTGAGGAACTGTCTCCTCTACGAGCAGCATAATGCAGCGCTCTGAATGGTTCGTGATCGGTCAATATATAAGCCAAGACAGCACCAAGCAAGATCTGCTCAAAAGAATCTTTTGTAGCAGTTGGGCCTTTTTGCTGGAAAATGGACATTAAACTCTTGCCATCAGAGGTTGCTACTGTGATGTCAGCTCCTGCCATAACCAGTAGCCTGAAAGCCTCAACGTGGCCAGCCTCTGCTGCGACCATAACCGGTGTCAATCCTGATCCATCAAACTTATTTATGTTTTCAGTAGACGAATGCAGAATCATCTGTAATGATTCAGCTTTGCCGCTTGCAGCAACAAAGTGTAACGGAGAGAAGACAGACAAATCAGTTGAACAAATGCTTGACCCTGAAGCTAAAACCTGAGAGAAAATGTCAATGATGGAAGATGAAAACGCGCTTCTCTTTGCCAATTGAATAGGACTATCACCCAAATTGCTGAGTAGACCCAAGTCACCTCCAGCTACGAGTAATTCTTGGAAGCAGTCTCCATGATCGAATCTTGCGGATATCATTAAAGGAGTCTCTCCAGTAGAAGTCCTTACATTGACGTCACACCCATGAGAGATTAATTGCTTCAGAATGTCGATGCTTCCAAGTCTAGCAGCAAGATGGATAGGACGGGATTCATTTCCACTTTTAGTTAGCAACGGGAAGTTTGAATTTGCACCGGAATCTAGAAGAAATTGTACTGCTTTGGGATTCTGACACAGAATGGCATGACAGAGAAGAGTTCTACCAAGATACAGGTCCTCAAGCAAAGATGGCTTGTGTTGAAGCAACAAGTTGAGAATTTCACCGCTTGCTTCATAGAATTCAACTGCACACCATGCAAAATTATAAGGCTCACCAAGGCAAGCACCAACTCTCAGCTCCTCACCAGATATTGGATCCCAAGACCAAGCACCCACCCGAACATGGCAATCGCTCCTAGCACCAGCCTGTACGAAACTGCACTTAGTGCAATATCACAAATAATGTTGTTGCCTGTTGGTTATATTTATTGCTGAAAAGAACTTTGTGTAAGAGTTTATTACAGTAAAAGATCAAAAATTTTGTAGCGCATTGGATGCTTAAATGCACTGAAACCACTATTATGTGTACATACTTAAGAACACATTCACTATTCAAGAAGTGAAAAAAAAAAAGCAAATCATGAGATATATCTGATTCTCAGATAACCAGAGAACAACAAAGATTATGGAGATGATATGGAGTAGTTTAACAAAGAAAAGTGAACGGAAAATTTCTTCATTCCCAATAAGGAATGCATATGTTGCACGAATTTGTCAAAATGCACAGTTCTTAACTTTTGAGGCATGCACAGCTCGTAAGTACGGGCAGACAACAGAACAAAGTTTGTCCATTGAATATTGAGTGCTGCTGTTTGATAGTTTTCACATACACTAACTCATATGTAGATCTTATATTCCTTTTACTACATTAGCTTTCTCTGTGCAGAAATGTTTTGAAGTTTATTCAACACATACTATCTTAGTATGATAAGAGATACTGTGGTGATAGTGTAAAAGAACTTAGTCAACAGGAATGCTGAAAATCACCTCTAGTAAATATTTCACAACAGAAACTTGTCTGCTGATAATTGCCGCTATCAGGGGCATGCAATCCACATTTGCATGCAAAGTAGGCTTCAGTGACCGCAGGAGAACTCTGTCCATGCTATTTATGTCTACTCCATTCTGAAAAATGAGAAATCCACTATTGTCAATAGCAATCATCATCAGTAAAACTGAGATAGTAAGGTGCGTGATGTAAATGTTACAGACATTCAAATCGAAAAAGGACGAGAAAAATGAAACTGTGAGTTTGTTGTACCTTAATGAGTGCGGTGACCACATCAACAAAGCCCCTGCTGCTTGCAGTCACAAGAGCATGTGCTGCAGCATCAGGCCTTGGCATATCGGAGCATATTAAGAGTTCCACAGCTTCAGCCTCATTATAAATGCTAGCCTCCAGTAAGGCATCTTCACAGGCTGCCTGAGAAGCACCAGCTTTCAGAAGCATGCCTAGAATAATGCAATGACCTTCTCGTGCAGCAGCAGTTGTTGCATAACCGCGAAAGAATTCCTGGTTAACATCAGCTCCAGCCGACTGCCAGTGAGGTGGGAAAGAACGATTAAGAGAAGGAAAATTGTTTTGAAATTTAGATATTTATGTCATGAGGAATTTTCAAGTTTTTAAATTTCATAAACATTCAAATTTAGAAACGTTGGGAAAATTAGGCATACAATTGGCAGAAGGAAACAAATATTGTCATGACAACACTGTGCAGGGTATGGACTCCTATGTCTTTGCAGTTTAAATGAAACAACATGAGGAAAGTAACTGATGCACTTAGGAGTTCCAAACAACTTGTAGGTTTCAGCATGGAGTAGTTTTTTTAAGAGAACATCAAAACCCATTGCCTATTTTATTTATAGAAAGATAAAAACTAATCTTCTTGTCCAGTTTTCTATTTGCAGTTATCACTAATTTCGAAACTGTCATCTTGGGTAGAGAACCCAGTGTGTTAAGCCTCCTAATGCAACTGGGACAGAAAAATAGTTTCAAACCATGAAGAACTGTTATCATAGTTTGTATTAAGTAGACTGTACCGAATCAGAAATGAGGTGAATGCAAACGGGAAAAAACTGGAAAAGGAAATCTCCCATTTTTCCTATTTTATATAGAATGGACATCGTAGTTTCTATTAATTATAATTTCTTATTCCCAATTTCAGGTACAAATAAATTTTAATGCTTACGCTAATTACTGATAAGACATGGAAATCTCACTACCATTGCTCAAAAAGGAGCTTTTACATAGCGAAGAAAAAGATGAGTATGGAAATGGAGAAAATGGAAATCTCATTCTTGGAGATGATTGTTGTGATGGATTAATCATGGATGAAAGACTAATGTTAGATTGGCTTACTTTGTAGCTGCGGGAGGATTATGAATGTGGTTTAGAAATGTATAAGATTCAAAAAATAATTGTGTGTTGTTAACATTTCTATTAAAGACTTCACGAGTCAGTGGACTAGGTCTTGGTCCAGATGTTTGGTACTGGTAGAGTTTGTTGTTGCCAGTCTGGATTCACTACAATCTTGATTGCAGAGAATGCCTACAATTAGTTAAGTGTGCTAATACTATTGGCTTATCTCAGTGATTCCCACAATTAAAAGTATTTTTATATTTTATTTAGATAATTAATATCATTCATGGGGTCCACTGAGTAGGAATATTTGATTGGTGAGTTGTAGAGATTCTCTACATTCAAGGATGTAGAGGATTTCTACCCTGTTGTCTCACCCCAGCTGATCCAGAGTCCATTGTAACTTGAGGATCATGTTATTATGGTGTGCCTAATACATGAGAAAGTGATCGACTGATAGGCTACTGCTGACACTGGCAATTTTTGTAACATTACTGGTACAAAATGTTGCAATTAGCGTGCTAAATTTCAAACCTTGCAGTCAACTTCTTACTTTCCAATTTCTATCAATTTACTGCAAGATAGTGCAGTTTAAGATCACGTCAGTCAACCCCATTAATGTGCACTGTATTCAATTACCAAACAAAAAATGCAGCTAACTTATTTGTACTATAACAGTTTAACAATTTTTCGAATCTAGACTTGTTCATCATGCATAGGTGTGAGAGATCAATACGCCTATTCAGAACTCTAGACTTGTAGAAACAACTAATATGGATGGCATGTCATATGACGCTCTGATGGTAACACATTCACTTCATGTGTCAGTTGAGTTCACAGTTGCAAAAACTCAAGTCCTAAGACAATATCTTGCCCGTAACTGATCATTGTACATACATACCTTGTTTGTAATAGTTATCTAACTATTTCATGACACCAAAAGGGTTTGAAGCAGATGCTAGCCTGTCATTCTGCAATTCAATACTTCATAATTTCAGCTGTGATCAGGTTGCCCTTAGCTCAACTAAACAGCTAAGCATTCAATTCAAGAAGGGCAGTCGAGCATCATAAGAGTAGATAAATGATGGTGTATAATGAAAATGAAATCTTTAGTCACTTCGCAAACACAAGTTGAACTAGATGGTTATGGGCATCAATATAATAAGGGGAAACACCAGTCAGTATCATCTTATGGAGCTACTCCTTCAAATTTTATTAAAAATGTAAACTCATGTCCAAGTGCTAATGCACTTTACGTGGTCCCCATGAAAGTCAACATGAAACAAGACTCTCAACCATCCAACTTTAGTTTCTCAGTGGGGAAGCGGGACTCATACACAACTCAAAATAAAAGAACCAGAACATAAAATCAAATTACTATATAGAAACCATAAGGAACGGCTTATGAATTAAGGACTAAGAAAACAAAGGAATATTTAGACAAGAGAAAATTCATGTTGATTTTGCGCCTTTTCATGATCATGTACAAAATTAAATAGTAACAGGTAAATTTTCCTACAGGAGAAAATTCCAAATGATTTCATCTGAAAAACAATTTTAGCACATAAGCACTCAAAACCTAAAAACCCTATAAAACCAATACAATTCTTGAACAAAATCTCATAGAACCTAAGTAAACTATATAATGAAAGATTCAAAATATTCTTCATCCAATCCACAACATCACATCAAAAACAATACAACCCAAAACGCAACAAAAAATGGAGAAATTTTTACCACTAATCTCCGCACGACATCAGCTCGCCCCGAATGCGCAGCAGCAAACAGGGCCGAAACCTCGGTCCGAAACTCATCGTACCCGATCCGAACCTCATCGGGCATCTCCTCTCTCAGCACCGTCTCCGTGCACTTCACTCTCAAGTTCACCGCCCCCGACGTAGTTCACATCAGCCCGCATCTCGCCATCGCCGTCGCCTCTCAAAAGCTTCCGCGTCTACGTGGACGCCACGTCAACCTCTCAGCGCCGCCTCCACCAAACCTCTGCGACAGCCTCGTCCACGTGGCGCACCACCGATGCCCTCGCCATTCTCAGAGATCTGCTGGAATCCTATGATGAGAGCTAATAAAGAAATGGTTGAGTTTTATATTGGTTGAGATCCTTCCGTGATCTTGGATCGCAGCGTTGTTCTGCTTGCTCTGCTGAGATTCGAGCTGATTAGCTCTTTATTTTATTAAAGAGGAGATGGTAAAATCGGGGGAAAAAACAAATTAGGCGTCGGCGGCTGAAGTTCGAATGAATTAAAGTACAGTAAATGGTAAAAGATTTGGGTTTGAGATTTTGTTTTACCTGAGAGAAGAGGGGCTCAAAGATGGCTACTTTTGCTTCTTGTTTTTTTTTTTTTTTTTTACCCCAAGTTTTCTTTTTTGACCTGATGAACGTTGGGGTCACCGCAGGTGAGAATAAGAAATTAGCAGTTGAGCGGGAAATGGACCAGAAAAGACGACTTTAGGGGCTCAAAAGTGGTGTTGCCGTGGCTTTGTTATGAATTTGAAATTGAAATTTGGGGCACTGGATGCGGTTGTGTTTGTTAGGGGAGTGGCGGGATTTGCGGACATGTCGCTTGCAGTCACGTGCTTGGCAGGCACGGAGGTTAGTGGTGAACAATATTGAGTCTGTAGTTGTATAAATTTTCAAGATTGACCTAGTAGAGCTACCAATATTGTTTGACATAAAACATCTGTTTAAGGGTGGTTGTTTTGGTTTAAAAAAAATAGGAAACCCTTTCTAATAGTTACCATGGTGATTTTTATATGGTATTTTGAAAACATCACGGTATTTTTCTCCAAAAGTGTTTTCAAAACGTTAGAGAAGTGTTGTTTGTCAACAATAGTTTGACCTTTTATAATATTAATATTAAACATTTTTAATATATTATATATTAATTACTACATATCTATTTTAATTAATATATTATAATAGTATATGTATAATTAACATATTACAATATTATATATAACTAATAGATAATAATGTTATATGTTGTACATAATTGTAATACACATTATATTATAATACTTAAATATTATCTCCAAATATAAATACATTTAATTATTTTTAATATAACTATGTTATTGTTATTAATATATTAACTTTTATTAATAGTAATGTATTAACATTTTTTGTTATGATGTTCTCAATCGCCAAAGTGTAACCCTTTTGCCAGCAATGGATGGGTGTACTTCTGCATGAAATGCCCCAATCAAATTGGCGGCCAGAGACCAACAAGGATTTCAACTCAACCAACTCGCCGAGTCGACATTCCTTAATGTCGACTCGAATGACGGAACTTGTCGCCCCTCTTGTTGAAGACGACTCGCTACGAGCCCACTCGACCTGCTATTCAACATCCATCCAAAGACGACTTGAAAGACGTTACTTCTCAGCGAAGCTAGAGGACGACTTCAGCCTCGAGCCTCTCCCACTGACAACGTGTCAGCATCGCATTTAATACTTAGCAAACGCCCTCATACCTCTAGCCCTGATAGCCTTCATGACTCATTGAACCACGTCAGCACCACCGTGCCTCAGATCGCTTCACATTTAATGCTGAGGTGATCTCTCCTCCACTCGGAGAGCAACGCGTGTAAACTAGGTGCTAACGCAGCTGCCAGCTCATGCTTCTTCACCGCCATACTGTGCTCGGCCAAAGTGTCCATTCTACCATTATATCATCAGTATAAATAAGATGTACTATTCTAACAAAAGAGGAGTTTGGACTTTTTTACCTTATTCTGAGTCTTCTGCAAATTATACTATACTACACACAAGAACTCTCACATTCACTTTCCCCACTCAAGTTCACCAGCTGACTTGATCGTCGGAGGAACCACAGGGAAACCAAGCTCTGTCCTCTCACAATTTCTACTTGTGCAGGCTTCAGCAGCTAAACTCAGAACCGGATATTCAGGGAAGGAAGCGGCCACTCATCAACTTCAGCCTCATCCAACCATTTTAATTGACTATGTGATCATTAACATCAATATTTTCTTTATATAATATAATATAATATTATTACATAACGATATTATTATTATTATATTAATATTTGTTATAGTATATGTAACTTATCATTAATAAGGTATTTACTTTATAATATATAATTATTTTACCATTATTTTATAATGTTATGTATTATTATTTATTATATAATATATTATGAATATTTAATCTTTTATTCTTAGAGGAGTTATTATTTTATTATTAAATATTATTATTATTACATAACATTTTACAAAAACATGTAAATACATGTTAAATTTGTTTAATATATTAATATAATATATTATTCAACATTAATATATATTTTTATGAATTAAAATTTATATAATTCAATGTTATAATTATTACTCTATTATATATATATATATATATTATAATATTATTATATATATAATATATATATATATAATATTTATATTATATATATATATATATATTAATATATATATATTATATATATATATATAATATATATATATTAATATATATATAATATATTATATTATATATATATATATATATATATATATATATATATATACTATAAGTATTTAAACTATAATATTATAATTTGTATATATCATTAATTAATGTATTAAAATAGTATTCATATATTAGGAACTAATATCATATTGTAATATATTTAAATAATATATAACTACTTTTAATATTATATTAATATGTTTAAAAATATAATATATTTTTAAATGTAATTATTATATTTATAATCACTATATTTTAAATTTAATATAGTATTTAAATATATATAATATAAAAATATAATTATAATATTATATAGATTATTAGTTGATGGTATTAAACATAATATTGATATACTTAAAAACTAGTGTTATAATGTAATATATTAAATAATATTATATTATATTATACTTTATAACAACTATATTATATTAAATATATTATTAATATACTATATTAGACATTATATTAACACCCTTAAAACTCAAAACACTGTCACCAAACTTGAAACACCTTTTTGGTGTTTTGAAATAAGTATTGTGTTTTTATTTTGATATTGTAGCCTAACAAAAATATCATGGTTGTTTGGGGTGAAAGATGGTTTAGTTGTAAAATCCATACAATTGTTTATCGATTACAATGAATTCAAAAGAGTTAATCTTTTGTTATAAAACTACTCGCTTACAAATAAAATAAAAATTACAACTCTTTTCAAACATACACAACAGATGTTTATCGCATGCTGCTTGCATGAGATCTTTGTCTGCGCCGAGATTTATCCGTGGACCATCGCGGATCAGATCTGGTTGATAGGATGGAAGTTTGATGCTCTTATTTCATAAAGGAAACAATCACAGAAGTGATAATCTCGACCAAGTAAGATTACGACTCTTCTCGAAATTAAAACCAAGTTTGATCCGAAGGAAAGGGAAATGGGCCTCGGATCTCTCGAACTCTCCCTCTTTATGCTGAAGAACTTCACCAAGATCTGCTAGTCTCTCTGAAATTCGTCAGAACCTCGTCCTAGCTCCTCTGAAATTCGTGGCTCCCTTCAGATCTGCCTATATGATGGTGCTAGTGGTGTATTTATAGATTTTAAATGATGTGTTTGTGGATAAGATTGAAGAACAACCATTATTATCTATTTAGGTTGGTTTTCCGTTGTGTAACAGTTTCCACACATTTAAGGATAACCACACATGTTTATGGATGACCCCAAAGAGTTATAGAAGTCTATCTTATCAAAAAACACGTCGGGAGCTGACCTGAGCGTGAGTCACTTCGAAGTGACTCAGAATTTCTGAGTCAATTTGAGGTGACTCGGATTTTCCGAGACAATTTGTATTGTCTTCAGTATTTTGGCTTTAATTATCTCGTCTGATCTCGGAATGAAGTGATTCAAGATGCATTGAAAAGCTGATGAAGGGAGCTACAACTTTTGTCTTTTGAGATTTTTAGATTCAAATCTCATCATGGTCAAACGTTCACTTCTTCATGCGGGTCACTCTAGAGCCCTCCTGATTGTATTTGCTTCATCGTTTTACACGTTTCAATATTTCACGTGCGTTCCTTCACTTCTTTTTACAGCATTGGATGATCCTCTTTAACTTGGATAATCCTCTTTGACTCAGATAATAGCGTTCATCGTCTTCTCTCCATTTCGAACTACGTACGGGTTTAATGCCTACAGATACCCCCTCCAAAGTGTTTTAGGCGCATTCTTTTATAAAGGAGCCTAGAATACTTTGGATATGATAGGCCCAACCTTCAATTATTAGACTTATTCATCTTTTAGTCTATTCAGTATTTTGTTGAATAGCTAAAATTTTTCCGATGCTACGATTATCGTCTGACTATTGTCGAAATCTTGAATTAGAACTGGAGTGTTGGTTTCTGAATTAGCTCGTGTCATTGGATCGATGTTGAACTGATCATCTTCATCAGGAATTCATATTTGAATCACGATTGAACTCCCGGGGATTATCCTTTGACCTTGAATCTTTCTGAGACTTATTTCGGCGAACCTATCGCTGTGTTGATCGGCATTGACCTTTATTATAGTGCGTTGCCCGGCGTTAATACAGTTTATACTCGTACGTTTATTAGAGTCTACACAATTTAAGCTCGACTGGTGTTGTAACGCGCGGCAGGCCCAAGTGTAGAGGTTGCAGGACCAACCGTTGATGATGGTTCATTTGTAGGTACTGATCTTACCCTTACGTCTCGCTAGTTATTTGTTTAATCATAGGGGAGTTTTGGTTGTAGGACCAGCTATTGGAGCTAATACGGCTATCATTGCAAATGCTTTAAAGGTTCCTCATGGAGACTTCGACTAGAATTGATGTTGTCTCAGGTGCTTAAGTCACGAGACCAACTGATGAAACTGGTGCATCAGTGACTATCGTACTTGTAGGAATTTTAGCAAACCCTCAGCC